CAAGTGTTTGGACTGACTCCCTGAAAGGACAGCACTAAGGCTCTTGCAGAGAAGTGTTTGTCTCGTAAGTGTATTCACCATTTTGTTGTCTCCTCGGGTGTGTTTTCCAGCTATAAGTGTATTTTTTTTCCAAGTTTTTGGGATTTTTAGTAGAATTTTGAGTACATTCTCAGCTGCTTCTCCATGTGAGGCATTATTAGAATGGCTTGACATTTTTCTCACCCAAGGACAGCACTAAGGCTCTTGCAGAGAAGTGTTTGTCTCGTAAGTGTATTCACCATTTTGTTGTCTCCTCGGGTGTGTTTTCCAGCTATAAGTGTATTTTTTTTCCAAGTTTTTGGGATTTTTAGTAGAATTTTGAGTACATTCTCAGCTGCTTCTCCATGTGAGGCATTATTAGAATGGCTTGACATTTTTCTCACCCAGTTCTATTTGCTTTGTTGTTAGCATTCAGTAACTGTTTTCCTTCTTACTATCAAGAAAGCATTAAAATCATTTGTTTGCCAAAACCAAAAGTGCATTGTGACATTTCCACCTGTGGTTGTCCCATTTAGTAATTCTCAATGAGATTAACAGTGAACTCAGTTGTCATTTGTGAGAAGGCCAAAGCCTCAAGTAGTGCAAAATGACAATCAGGTTATGCCATCCACAAGATGGAAAACCTTAGTTGAGATCATCTTTTTGCAGACTCTGTGTTAATAAGAAGTGAAATGATTCGGTGCATAATGATTTTGATCTCTTCCTAACTGTCCCTGGGGAAAAAAAGGAGCTTTAGGAACCATGTTCGTTTCCTGCAATAAGTAGTCATTTAATTAAAGAACAAAAGTAACAGGAATCAAAAATGCTTGCAGCTGTGATTCTGTTAGACATTATATAAAAAAGAATGAAATTATAATACATTAAATTAGTCTTTAGAACATGAACCGAAGTGTTTTACAAACTAATTGTGGTAAGTTCAAAATGTCTTGTCAACATAATACTGAATGACAGTGTGTCATGTCCATTTATGTCAGAGGCCTTGGAATGGTAAAGCCTGTACATGCACAACATCTCCTTCTCCAAGGTAGACTGCAAAACAGTTTCAAACAAGTGTGAAAGGAGAGTAGTAGCTCTTCCAAGTAGCTTTACTTCAGTGTGTCTCAGCACATGTCCCACTCCACAGGCCATCGCTCTCCTGACTGCAGAGCAGGGACAGCTCTGGGCTTGGCTTCTGCCCCCAAGTGCTGCAGAGATTCAGCTGCACAGTCCTTCTGGCACATCAACATCAAGGGATCCTGGACTGAACTTTAGGGAAAAACTTATATATTCCCTGATGCATGTTCAGCAGCAATATCAAAAAAGTAAAGACAGATTCTTCTCAGAAGAAAATTTCTATGGCCTGTGAAATCTAGGAGAAATGAGAGACATTTGTCAAACCACTTTGAAATAAAATCCCCCAAAAGAATGCAATTACGTCTAGATTAAAAAATTTAAAAAACCCCCAAACTGCTCATTCTGTCTAATGGTTAAGTCTTAATGCTAGATTAAAAAATTTAAAAAAACCCCAAACTGTTCATTCTGTCTAATGGTTAAGTCTTAATTTTCACCAGCACATTTCAAGGTGTGCCATGACTGCAGTGCAGGTACAGCCCTTGGGGCCCAGTGTGCCTGGTCATGCAAATAGAGGTGTGGGGTTGATTTGGGGGTTTTATCTTTAAGACACAGTTTGTCATTGTAGAAATATTCTTTACTGTGCAGCAATCTTGTTCTTTTGTAAGAGTTAAGCAACGTTGATCTGATGCCTCATAAAGTATGAGGAGCTCCTGTTGGTTCAGTGTACAATAGTCTGACGACTCTGTCTGGACTAAATAAGCTCCTGCTCTGTAGGTTTGTGCTCTTAGCTATGTAATTAAAGCCCCAATCATCTGTCACGCCTTAGCACTGATTGGAAATTGTAAACCTGTTTACTCCTAATATCCTGAACAAATTTCAAAGTCTGTCATCTCCTTAAACTCCCCAGGTAGCTGCAATGGGAGGATGCACATCTCCTGTTCAGCCATCCCATCTCCCCTCCCATGTTTCAGTGCAGTGATGATGGTTTGCCCTGAACCAATGTTCAGTCTGAGTCCTGTAATGTTAAAAGGGCCCTAACAATTGCATAACAGCCTGGAATGGCATCAATACAGCACTTAGGGCATTGTACACTGCAATTACAACTGGTGTGTGTTTGCCTAGACCATCCCAAGCTCAGTTATGCTGGAATTTTTGGTGAGCCCAGGAATAATGGGAATGTGGGCCCAGAGCCTTTCAGAACTGCACACCAGTTTAGTACAGTGTCAGGCAACTTATTTTAGCAGCAAGAACATCTGAGAGCACTCAGGGACATGGCAGAGGTACATGATGCTCCCAGCAACTCCTACATTGTGCTTTGAGAGCAACTGGAGTTCCTCAAGAGACCTAATAGGAATTGTGGGCAACAACTGATTGTGATTTCAATTTGTCTCTAATAAGCTCTTTTTGCAAGTGACAATGGCTGTGGAATCAGCTTCTCTTGTGTTTTTTCTCCTCTTAAAAAAGGAAAATGAATGCTTTCCTGCATGTTTAAGCACAGAACCTGTCATCAGTGCTGGCACAAGGAGCGAGCACTGGACTGAGCAGGTTCACTCTGGCTCAGTCACAGAGAGTGACAACAGTTCAACCTCTTCTCTCTCCTGACCTAACTCTAGCCCTGACATCACTGCCATTAAGTGTACTTGGGGGTTGCACTCCTTCCTATAGCAACTGGGCTGACAGGGGATCCTGAAATCCCCAGGCTGAATCCGTTAGAACAAATCCAATTAGAACAAAGGCATTACCTATGGGCCTTATGTGGGTCTCCTTACAGTATGTGGAATTTTACATCCCTTAGCAGGGAAGTTTCAGTGCCTGTGATAATGTTGCATACTCAAGTCCATTTAATTCACTATGTATATAGTGGATTTAGTTGTTTTTCTACTTTAAAAAAATCATATTGTTTTCTACATTATACACTATGTTTAATTTTTTTCCCTAGCTTTTGAATCCTTGGTACAAGGAATACCAGCTGAGGGATGCTCTGGAAGTCTACAGGATTATTGGAATGTGCTAGGTTAGATATGAGGAAGAGCATTTTTAGGGAGAGAGTGATCAGACATTGGAATGTGCTGCCCAGGGAGGTGGTGGATTCCCCATCCCTGGAGATTTTTAAGCTGAGACTGGATGTGGCACTTAGTGCCATGGTCTAGTGACCATGGTAGGGTTGGACTGGATGATCTTGGAGGTCTTTTCCAACCCAGTTGCTTCTATGATAATAAAAGGCCCCCCAAAATCAGAAAAGTTCTGAATAGGAAGAGAAATACTCCCACTTTCCTTTAAAACAAAGCATTCTTTTCATTCCTTCTCCCACATCCAGCATGTAGAAATACAGTCTACAGATTCAGGCCCCAGGCAGACTGGTTTTAGCAGGCAGTGGAAATAACTAGCTGGAAAACTGACCTTGTCAAATGTTTGCTTGATGCATGGACCTCCATTTCATTACTTTTGTATTCATTCAGCTCTTTCCGAATTGCTGCCTAGGAATTGAGAACAGAAGTAGGTTAACAACTAGTTCAGTATTTGTGAGCAGTGCAAAGTGCCAGACTGGCAGGGCAGAACAGTTTCCTAGAGTACAAGTCCCAGGTGTTGGGTCCAGCAGAGCACACTGTGCTGGGAGAGACACAGAATACTTAGGTTCTATGGATTGGTGACACAATACTTCCAATTCCTTATCGATTGCTGACAGGGTTACTGCTGCTAGAGGCAATTCTGTCAGAATAACACCCCAGGGCTTGTTGTATCACATTTAATAAGATCTCACTTAAAATGTATTAAAGATTAAGAGAAGTTGCCAAGGAATTGATCCATTTTTCACTCACAGCTGCAATGGTCCAACTCCCCTGACTTCCTGACCTGTGCCACCAGCATACACAGTTGGACTGTCACTTTCTCTTTGCTTATCAACCTGCCTAGTTAACAATATCAAACAGGGAAACTAGAAAAGCCAACTACATGCGAGGAAAATACAAAATCATTATTCCATTGATTGCTATATAACAGCTCATTCACCATTTGAGTGAGCTCAGAACAGTCATTGTGGGGGAAATGCTCTGTGCCTTTTCTGTATGAGTCCTCTAAACTCTAAGACACTTTTTACTGGGGAGATACTGGAGTGGAGACTGAAGTGTTTGATTTCCACACCTCAGAACAATCTGTGGAGTCCTGTGTTTGCCATTTTGCCAGTAACTATCTCAGCTTTCTGCTCCTTCTGCAGCCTGAAACTTCACAACTTGTTCAGCAGCTGTTCTAGCTGGAATCATGCTGAACTGCTCTTACCACTCAAACTGAATGTGCAAGTGAAATTGGGATGTAAATCAGCTGCATGGCAGGTATGTGATGGAACAGGAGTGGTTGTTGATGCTCCTGAGAATGTGAGTCAAGTGACTCCTTGTTGAGCTTTCATAGGAAAGAGGAGAGGAAATATTTGCGTGTTTAGAAACACAGTGGAGGATATTTGCATGTTTGGGACAAAACTGCCAGTCTGAGTGTAAATGTTAATACTCTGTTGGCTGGAGATGGTTTTGAGTTGGAGCCTGACAGGTTGTATCCACCTTTCTGCACAGACTGGGCAGAAGCCTTTACAGCACTAAATAGGCATCTTTATACATGGCATTTTTTTATGACAGCTGCACTGGTCACTGTGAGCTCAGCATAAACAACAGTGGTAACATTTACAGAGATTAACTGTCCCGAGGGTTAAATGTCTTTGCAGAGTCTGATGTATCATTACAGACAAAGCAAGGAGGAGGCTGCACTGTGTGATTTCAGAGGTGTCAGTACCTTATCTGCTGCTGACAGTCGTGTCCATGGTTTGTCTGCTCTCCTGTCATAGTCCTGTGCTTTTGCCACTTCCACATAATCACTGAATCGGATCAGGATTTTCCTGTCTCTCAGTTCATCAACTGTAGGTCTCTGGTTCAGCTGTAGTTTTGTAAAACAAAACCAGGGTTAATAACAAACACAGCAATAAAATATGCAGTATTTTCTGCTTCCCATCTTAGCCCTGTGTGCATTAATCTGTATGGGAATCCACCCAACCCTTGGAAATACTAGCGAAATACTCAGTCATTTGCAGGATTGTTAGGAAAATCCATCCAACCCTTGGAAATACTAGGGAAGTACTCAGTCATTTGCAGGATTGTTAGGAGAGTAATAATGAATTAAAGGGAGTTGTGGGCTAGAGCACAGTGTCTTTATAATGGACAGAAGAAGAAAATAGCTGAGCCTGGATACTGATAAAATGCATTTGCAAAATGCAAGGACATAGTGGTGAATTTGGGATGGTCTCTGTGTGATCTGGGTGCTGCAGATTGTCTGGGTGAGATTCTCATGACTGCACCTATTCTAAGAATTTCCATTGGCTTTAACAAGTTATCAGCATATTTATTTTATAATTCCAGTAGGGATTCCCAGGAACAGAACAACAAGATCTAGTGCCAATTCTGAGAATACTTTAAATGCAAAGAGAAATGTACCCTGGGAGCAAACCTGGTGCTCAGCAGGGACTCACCTCTGCTACTGGTTGCTACAGAGAATGAAATAGTGCTTTGCTAGCCATGCAGCTGACAAATACACAGTGTGCAAGCAAATACCCATTTTCTGACATAAAGTTCCTATGCAAATATTCTACTAAGTCTCGTGGAGCTGAGATCAGGTGCTTTTCTAATTCATACTACTAGACACTACTATCAGACATTGCTGAGAGGGTGAATGTTAAGGGAGGTTCTGTGTAATAATGATCTCTATGACTGATTGACACTTTGCTAAATTTCTAAAAGCTAATAGGTGTTGTAAGCTTTTACCTTTCTCGTCAGTCTCTGTTTGATTTCTCTTCTCTCTTCCTGTTCCGTTTGGTCATTGCGTTCTGCGGAGAATATAAAAAAAAAGATGACTTTCCCCATGAGGAAGTTTGATGTTTTCCCAAGCTCCAGGCAGTAATGAGCACAGAGGAATGAGTAGCTGGTTCGTGGCTGTGTGTTTGTTAATTCAGTACATCTCTGTTACCTCTCTGTAAGGACAGCACTCTGGTGCCAATGTCAGTTTTGCCTATGCTCTGAGCTCCAGCTCCAGGGAGACTTAATAAAACAACAGCAGCCACACAGCTCTCCACTTGTATAAACTTCAGAAGGAAAACCAAAATATTCCAGAGCTGATTAATCATCCTTTTTTGCTCTCCATATTGCTGGAGCCATTCATTGCTGTAGGATGCTGAGGAAACTTCTGGCAGCAGCTCCAGGGAAAGTCTGTTCTGTCCTTTGTCACGTTTCCTCAGGCATCATCAGTCAGTGATGGTGCCACAGTGGTTGGCTCTGACCTGCACCTTGACTTTCTCTGCTACTCAGGATCTGCCACTAGAACCTCTTTTTCCTCCTGGGGCTCCTTTTGCAGCGTTCTGCTCTAACCTAAGCCAGTTTGCTTTGTGTGTTGTGCCTATTAGCATTCAAGCCGTGAGAACTCCTACACACTGGGTCTAAAAATAGACTGGAGTGCTGTAATACTGTGTGAAATATATCCCTTGCCTTAGGAAACAACTTAATGGCATTTCTATTTCCAGTACTATCTGTTACTAAATTAAGGCATGAGCCCATGACCTGAACAAAGCTGCAGACGTAGAGAAAAAGGTTTAACCATTCTGGGATTCTCTAGATACTACTGTGAAGCTTATTGTACCACTTGCTTTAGAGATTTCCAGTGTCACAGCACACACTTGATTTCTTATATGCCTCAAAACCCCACTAGCACTGCAGATGAGTTTCCAAAATTATATTTTTAGTAACGAAGGATTCCCTGATTTTTATTCTCTACACTGAAATGAAATCCCAAGTATCTCTTTAAAATAACAGGGCAGTGCACAGCTACACCTGGCTAGAGCAGGAACGTAAATCAGAGGGATTGAAAAGGATCTAATGTGCTGCATTACAATTCAATGGCAAGGCACAAAATGTAAAGAGAATAGGTCAGCTAAAATTAGTGCTGTGTCAGGGATGAGCAGCTATTTCAGTCTGGAATGTTTAAAAAGAGAACAGGCTTTAAAAAGCAGAAGGTATTCTTAGACATGGAGATACCTGCAAGAAGTTGCTCATTCAGCTTTAATTCACACATTTTAGAGTAGATATTCATATATATACATAT